GTCTCTATGTGTCTGTGTGTGTCTGTACATCTGTCTGTGTTTGAACGTCTCTATGCGTCCGTATGTGTCTGTTCATCTGTGTTTGAACGTCTCTATGTGTCTGTGTGTGTCTGTACATCTGTGTATAACGTCTCTATGTGTCTGTGTCTGTACATCTGTCTGTGTTTGAACGTCTCTATGTGTCTGTGTGTATCTGTACATCTGTCGGTGTTTGAATGTCTCTATGTGTCTGTGTGTGTCTGTACATCTGTCTGTGTTTGAACATCTCTATGTGTCTGTGTGTGTATGTACATCTGTGTATAACGTCTCTATGTGTCTGTGTGTGTCTGTACATCTGTGTCTGAACGTCTCTATGTGTCTGTGTGTGTCTGTACATGTGTCTGTGTCTGAACGTCTCTATGCGTCGGTGTGTGTCTGTACATCTGTCTGTGTCTGAACGTCTCTATGTGTCTGTGTGTGTCTGTACATCTGTGTTTGAACGTCTCTATGTGTCTGTGTGTGTCTGTACATCTGTGTCTGAACGTCTCTATGTGTCTGTTTGTGTCTGTACATGTGTCTGAACGTCTCTATGTGTCTGTGTGTCTGTTCATCTGTCTGTGTTTGAACGTCTCTATGTGTCTGTACATCTGTGTCTGAACGTCTCTATGTGTCTGTGTGTGTCTGTACATCTGTCTGTGTTTGAACGTCTCTATGTGTCTGTGTGTGTCTGTACATGTGTCTAACGTCTCTGTGTGTCTGTGTGTGTCTGTACATCTGTCTGTGTTTGAACGTCTCTATGTGTGTGTGTGTCTGTAAATCTGTCTGTGTTTGAACGTCTCTATGCATCCGTGTGTGTCTGTACATCTGTGTTTGAACGTCTCTATGTGTCTGTGTGTGTCTGTGCATCTGTGTATAACGTCTCTATGTGTCTGTGTGTGTCTGTACATCTGTCTGTGTTTGAACGTCTCTATGTGTCTGTGTGTGTCTGTAAATCTGTCTGTGTTTGAACGTCTCTATGTGTCTGTGTGTGTCTGTACATCTGTGTATAACGTCTCTATGTGTCTGTGTGTCTGCACATGTGTCTGTGTCTGAACGTTTCTATGCGTCTGTGTGTGTCTGTACATATGTCTGTGTCTGAACGTCTCTATGTGTCTGTGTGTTTCTGTACATGTGTTTGAACGTCTCTATGTGTCTGTGTGTGTCTGTACATCTGTGTCTGAACGTCTCTATGTGTCTGTGTGTGTCTGTACATGTGTCTGAACGTCTCTATGTGTCTGTGTCTGTTCATCTATCTGTGTTTGAACGTCTCTATGTGTCTGTACATCTGTGTCTGAACGTCTCTATGTGTCTGTGTCTGTACATCTGTCTGTGTTTGAACCTCTCTATGTGTCTGTGTGTGTCTGTACATCTGTCTGTGTTTAAACGTCTATATGTGTCTGTATATCTGTGTCTAACGTCTCTGTGTGTCTGTGTGTATCTGTACATCTGTCTGTGTTTGAACGTCTCTATGTGTCTGTGTGTGTCTGTACATCTGTCTGTGTTTGAACGTCTCTATGCGTCTGTGTGTGTCTGTACATCTGTCTGTGTTTGAAAGTCTCTATGTGTCTGTGTGTGTCTGTACATCTGTCTGTGTTTAAATGTCTCTATGTGTCTGTGTGTGTCTGTACATCTGTGTCTAACGTATCTGTGTGTCTGTGTGTGTCTGTACATGTCTGTGTTTGAACGTCTCTATGTGTCTGTGTGTGTCTGTACATCTGTCTGTGTTTGAACGTCTCTATGCGTCCGTGTGTGTCTGTTCATCTGTCTGTGTTTGAACGTCTCTATGTGTCTGTGTGTATCTGTACATCTGTGTATAACGTCTCTATGTGTCTGTGTCTGTACATCTGTCTGTGTTTGAACGTCTCTATGTGTCTGTGTGTATCTGTACATCTGTCGGTGTTTGAATGTCTCTATGTGTCTGTGTGTCTGTACATCTGTCTGTGTTTGAACATCTCTATGTGTCTGTGTGTGTCTGTACATCTGTGTATAACGTCTCTATGTGTCTGTGTGTGTCTGTACATCCGTGTCTGAACGTCTCTATGTGTCTGTGTGTGTCTGTACATCCGTGTCTGAACGTCTCTATGTGTCTGTGTGTGTCTGTACATGTGTCTATGTCTGAACGTCTCTATGCGTCTGTGTGTGTCTGTACATCTGTCTGTGTCTGAACGTCTCTATGTGTCTGTGTGTGTCTGTACATCTGTGTTTGAACGTCTCTATGTGTCTGTGTGTGTCTGTACATCTGTGTCTGAACGTCTCTATGTGTCTGTTTGTGTCTGTACATGTGTCTGAACGTCTCTATGTGTCTGTGTGTGTCTGTTCATCTGTCTGTGTTTGAACGTCTCTATGTGTCTGTACATCTGTGTCTGAACGTCTCTATGTGTCTGTGTGTGTCTGTACATCTGTCTGTGTTTGAACGTCTCTATGTGTCTGTGTGTGTCTGTACATCTGTGTCTAACGTCTCTGTGTGTCTGTGTGTGTCTGTACATCTGTCTGTGTTTGAACGTCTCTATGTGTCTGTGTGTGTCTGTAAATCTGTCTGTGTTTGAACGTCTCTATGCGTCCGTGTGTGTCTGTACATCTGTGTTTGAACGTCTCTATGTGTCTGTGTGTGTCTGTGCATCTGTGTATAACGTCTCTATGTGTCTGTGTGTGTCTGTACATCTGTCTGTGTTTGAACGTCTCTATGTGTCTGTGTGTGTCTGTAAATTTGTCTGTGTTTGAACGTCTCTATGCGTCTGTGTGTGTCTGTACATCTGTCTGTGTCTGAACGTCTCTATGTGTCTGTGTGTGTCTGTACATCTGTGTTTGAACGTCTCTATGTGTCTGTGTGTGTCTGTACATCTGTGTCTGAACGTCTCTATGTGTCTGTTTGTGTCTGTACATGTGTCTGAACGTCTCTATGTGTCTGTGTGTGTCTGTTCATCTGTCTGTGTTTGAACGTCTCTATGTGTCTGTACATCTGTGTCTGAACGTCTCTATGTGTCTGTGTGTGTCTGTACATCTGTCTGTGTTTGAACGTCTCTATGTGTCTGTGTGTGTCTGTACATCTGTGTCTAACGTCTCTGTGTGTCTGTGTGTGTCTGTACATCTGTCTGTGTTGAACGTCTCTATGTGTCTGTGTGTGTCTGTAAATCTGTCTGTGTTTGAACGTCTCTATGCGTCCGTGTGTGTCTGTACATCTGTGTTTGAACGTCTCTATGTGTCTGTGTGTGTCTGTGCATCTGTGTATAACGTCTCTATGTGTCTGTGTGTGTCTGTACATCTGTCTGTGTTTGAACGTCTCTATGTGTCTGTGTGTGTCTGTAAATTTGTCTGTGTTTGAACGTCTCTATGCGTCTGTGTGTGTCTGTACATCTGTCTGTGTTTGAACGTCTCTATGTGTCTGTGTGTCTGTACATCTGTGTATAACGTCTCTATGTGTCTGTGTGTCTGCACATGTGTCTGTGTCTGAACGTTTCTATGCGTCTGTGTGTGTCTGTACATCTGTCTGTGTCTGAACGTCTCTATGTGTCTGTGTGTGTCTGTACATGTGTTTGAACGTCTCTATGTGTCTGTGTGTGTCTGTACATGTGTCTGAACGTCTCTATATGTCTGTGTCTGTTCATCTGTCTGTGTTTGAACGTCTCTATGTGTCTGTACATCTGTGTCTGAACGTCTCTATGTGTCTGTACATCTGTCTGTGTTTGAACCTCTCTATGTGTCTGTGTGTGTCTGTACATCTGTCTGTGTTTAAACGTCTATATGTGTCTGTGTGTCTGTATATCTGTGTCTAACGTCTCTGTGTGTCTGTGTGTATCTGTACATCTGTCTGTGTTTGAACGTCTCTATGTGTCTGTGTGTGTCTGTACATCTGTCTGTGTTTGAACGTCTCTATGCGTCTGTGTGTGTCTGTACATCTGTCTGTGTTTGAACGTTTCTATGTGTCTGTGTGTCTGTACATCTGTGTCTAACGTCTCTATGTGTCTGTGTGTGTCTGTACATATGTCTGTGTTTGAACGTCTCTATGTGTCTGTGTGTGTCTGTACATCTGTCTGTGTTTGAACGTCTCTATGTGTCTGTGTGTGTCTGTACATCTGTCTGTGTTTGAACGTCTCTATGCGTCTGTGTGTGTCTGTACATCTGTCTGTGTTTGAACGTCTCTATGTGTCTGTGTGTGTCTGTACATCTGTGTCTAACGTCTCTATGTGTCTGTGTGTGTCTGTACATCTGTCTGTGTTTGAACGTCTCTATGTGTCTGTGTGTGTCTGTACATGTGTCTGTGTCTTAATGTCTCTATGTGTCTGTGTGTGTCTGTACATCTGTCTGTGTCTGAACGTCTCTATGTGTCTGTGTCTGTAAATCTGTGTTTGAACGTCTCTATGTGTCTGTGTGTGTCTGTTCATCTGTCTGTGTTTGAACGTCTCTATGTGTCTGTACATCTGTGTATAACGTCTCTATGTGTCTGTGTGTGTCTGTACATCTGTCTGTTTGAACGTCTCTATGTTTCTGTGTGTGTCTGTACATCTGTCCGTGTTTGAACGTCTCTATGTGTCTGTGTGTGTCTGTACATCTGTCTGTGTTTGAATGACTCTATGTGTCTGTGTGTGCCTGTACATCTGTGTCTAACGTCTCTATGTGTCTGTGTGTGTCTGTACATCTGTCTGTGAGTCTACACAAAAATACAAAGACTAAGATCTCCCGTATTGCCTGAACAGACTGTTGGGGCAAGTACTGTTAGTGAGCACCTGCTGCACACACACCCACTACATTGTATGGGGGAGCATTACCATCTACAACTACATAATCCTATGCCATACACCCAATTCCATCCACACTTTTGCAGTGTGTGGCTCAGCTTGGTCAGCTCGCCCAGATATGCAACAAATACTCCGGTTTTCCCAACGTCCAGTGAATGCAGTGCTGAGTGAATATGAGTGGTGGAGAATGGACGAGGTTCGGTTTAAGTATCGCATGACGTTTGGTTCTGCGTCTTCTCCCCACAGTCTCTGGAAAGCACCAGGCGCATGCTGCAACTGGTGGAAGAGGTGAGGTTCACAGAATGCACACGCAGTTATTTTTGCTCCGCTTCCTATTCGCTTCATTGTAGTGCTTGTTTTTTAGATTCTTGCTTTTGTCACGTTGGTGACCCAGGCGGTCACTCTTGCAAAATGACTCATCCTGGTCTCTTCGAGTTCTCGCCATCCAGTTACACAGAATCGACCTGAAACTTGAGCCGTTCGCGAATCATCAGCCCAATATCTCCTACACTGGCTGCGTTGCGAGTGCCAAATGCCGCGTGATTAATTCTAAACACCGAGGGAGTATTTTTAGCAAAGTTGTCTGCAGGCGCCCGGCGTGCCGCTTAATCTCCCCCGAGCGCCGCAGAAAAACAATCATCGCAGCCCTGCTTACCCCCCGGGACACTTCCGCGGCGCAGCTGTTTTTATCGCAAAGCAGATGAAAAGTCGTCATCGTCATGATTGTCGCCATCGTAGTCGTCACCAGCCACTGGCTAACGCGGTGAAGTATGGCCACACGTCGCACGCAACTCCTATGATGTCATGAGACGTGAAGACGCCACCCAGGGGGCTTAGGGTGTGGGCAACGGAGCGGTCTCTCAAATTTCCAGTGGTGGGGCGCGGGGGGGTGCGTGGGGGAGGATCAACGAGAGAAAGGCTTGCGCTGACCCCCATTGACCAGGGTAGTGAAGTATGGTCAAACAATCTCGATGACCGAAAGCTCGTGAGGAAGAGGAGGCCTTCATCTGATGAGAGATTTACAAATAGCTTAAAATGAAAATGTAATGCTGTGCATAGAGCAGGTGACATCGCCTGCATGTGTTACATGCACCTTGAGATTACTGTACTACTATAATGAGCCAGGAATTTGTGTGTAACGCGCGTGACGTCACTGCACATGCCGCACCCCCCCCCCCCCATCATTAATATTCATGAGCGGGTGGATTTTTACACTAACGCAGAAGGTCGAGCGGAAATAATTTTTTTCGCAAATTCGCTTTAAGTTTCACGTTTCTTTATTGAAAGTGAATCTGATAAATAATTATACGCAGCAACAAAGTGGATTTGGTGTCTTTATTTATTTCTTTAGCACTTGAGACAAGACATAAGTCTAATTTATGCTTCTACAGTATGGTAAAATAGACATTTCTCGGTGATTTTCCAGATGTTGTATAGATTTCCAATTAATGTCAACTCCAGCAACCGAAAGCAGAAGAGAATAAGGTATCAGAGAAGTGAATTTGAGCAAATTGAAGGTCAGTTATATACAGTGCTACAGTGAAATGCAGTGAAGTGTTTGATGACTTCATTTTGTGCAAGATTCACTGCCATTAAATTTACACAAGATACAATTTCGTAAATATTACTGCTTCCGTCCTAGGATGGGCGAAAGGCTAGTCATAGTAATAATAATAATGATAGTCATTCAGTTTACTATGGGAGCCTCACCGAGTCTCAAGCCTGTTTCAGGAGGGTCCTGCCACATTAGGAGGTTTGGCAAATGTGAGAATAAACGGAAAAACCCAGAGAAAACTCGCGCTGCAAGTGAAGGGGTGACACTTACAGCTCTGCACAAACAGATTCAATAATCCATTACTAAACTTGTCTCCTGACCACCTGGTAGCCAGCCCCAACCCTGCAACACCTGCAGCTCCGAAGCCGTGTTAGCCAGGCTCAATCTCGGTGGTGAGATGTTCACTACCTCGCCTGGTATGCAGGCGTTCGTAGGTTCAATCCCGACCCTGACGCATGTATGCATGTTCTCCCCGTGGTCCCGAGGATTTTTCTCCACGTTCTCCAGTTTTTCCCTCCAAATTTCGAAACATGCGTTTAGAGTCTTTGGCTGCTATCCATTTCCACATAAGGCCACTTCGTTGAGCTATCATTTGTGGTCAAGTCGCTTCTGAAAAAGTGCTACATAGCTCAGTGGGCCTGACCTGGTAAAATAAAAAACAGTTTATTTTTCGATTTAAAACTTTCGTGACTTCAGGGCTTCATATTCTTGGTTCTTTCGGTAAAGTCACGTAGAAGGGAAATAATAAAATAATAAAAATAAAACAATAAAATAAAATTCTCACGACGTTTCGGCCACAACGCAAGCAGCCGTCCTCAGGTGAAGAACAAAAAAATAGTTTAGTCGTAGAATAGTCGTTAGATTTCTCGGTCACCTTGCATCGATCAAAAGTTCAGTATCCTGTACCGGTACCAGAACCCGCTACAAATAAATTCCTGCAGCCACCCGAACACACATGGCAATTTCCCAGACCAACTGGGTCAAACCCGAACAGGTGGTGACCCTATTTGTATCCAATGGCATATTTGGGTTCAGAGGCTCATGATTTATCGTTGCTGTCTCTGCCCCCCACCCCTCCTGTTGCTTCGTGCCCTTTTTGCCTCTTCTGCCTTCGATGCAAACTCCCTGTGCATAGAGCAAAGATGCTGGGATACGCACGCTGGTCATGCTGGACGAGCAAGGAGGTGAGGCCCTGGTGGAACGCTACAGTATCAACACAGCCCCAGTTCACCACAAACCTCAAACACCCCACCATGCCAAAACCCCTTGGGTCAGGCTTACAAAAATAACAGAGAAACAGATCGCCCCATGGACTATAATGGAAAACAGAATTTCCAAGAGTCTATTGGGCATTGCTTTTTTTTCCAACGCAGTCAATTGGCATTGTTTCCGTTTGCAGCCGATGGGCATTCATTTCCCGTTGTACGTTTCAATGCATCTCCGAATCCTGTGAGATGAATATTAATGTTACCCAAGTGCGGTTTTTCCAGGCTGGGCTGCGTGCCGAACATTTATTCTCTCAATTCAACTCCTGAACACGCCGGCAAGTAGTGTGGGTGGCGATGAACAGCCCGACCCGGAATCGCGCAAGTGGATTACGAGCAGATGCGAGAGAACTCGCGTGTGAAATGCAAACGCTGTTCCTGAAAGAGGAGCGATTATTGCCAAGACCAGACGCTTAAATACCAATTCCCTGCAGAGCAACTGGAGCGCATTGAGGAGGGCCTCGACCAAATCAACAAGGACATGAAGGAGGCCGAGAAGAACCTATCTGACCTGGGCAAGTGCTGCGGTCTGTGCAGCTGCCCTTGCGAAAAGTACGCACGCACACACATGCACGCACACACGTACACGCACAAAATAAACCACACAAGGGCTCCCTGCACCGCCCCCCCCGACCTGGGCAGTCTGCTTGCCAACTCGTTCTGCCGTATGCCTCACGTGTGCATAGTCACTCACCCCAGCTGCTAGGTGCCTCCATTCTTCCCATTTGTGCCTCCCAATTGTCCCCACGTGTCCTTCTGCGCAGCAATCATTCATCCCCTCCTCTCCCCCGCATCCTGGCTTTGCCTCCTGGGAGCTCACGGCCCCTCGCTCTGCTGCCGCTGTTCCCCTGCAATCCCCTCCAGGCTAAAGAATTTCGAGTCTGGCGACGCCTACAAGAAGGTGTGGGGCAAGAAAGAGGATGGCGTTGTGTCCAGCCAGCCGGCACGCGTCTGCGACGAGCGGGAGCAGATGGCCATGAGCGGCGGCTACATTCGGAAGTACGCGGCGACGTTCTAAACCGATCCGTCAGTTGTCCGAGACCAGAATAAAAATAAAGATATTTATTTATACTGCAGGAGGAATCCGATGAGCTACGAAGCTTTTTTTCACAGGTGTCCAGTAGGGCCACGGGGTCAGAACGTTACAACAACAAGCGATACAAAAGCACGATATGAGTACAAAGTATAGGAGGTAAACGCACAAGAGCGCTGCGGATCTTGCAGTTGGCACTTTGTGCCCTGTTTAAGGCAACACTGGCACAGGGCTCGCGCAGTCTTGCGTCGAACAGGGACCCAGATCTGCAAATAAACACCTGGCAATTCGCCAGCATTGGTTCAAGCAGGCCTGACTCTGCTGATGAGACGCTGAATGCCAAAGCCGGTACAGTTTCCTTTTATTGGACCAATGCTGCTGGAAGAATGAACTCACAGACGGCCGTGTGGCTGATGCGATGCATAGTTTTGTTTTAATGATGAGAGACGTACAGCAGCGTGTACAATCTGCTGATTTATTTTTTCGTACAGTCGAAATGGGTCACCCAAGGCAGTGATTGAACCCAACAGGAGCGCGCTCACCACTTGTTGCAGAAGTTAGCAGATAAATACCTGGCGATGTGTTAACTAGACGCTGGGGATTCCGTGAAGTCACTGAGAGATGAGGAGGCCATTGTGTGCCGACGTCACGATAAAAATTTACCAACTTTGAAACGTTACTTGTAAATGTTCTTAATTGAGTGTATAATTAGGCGCCACGGTGGCGATATGTTAACTACCTCGCCTGGTATACAGGAGCTCGTGGTTTCAATCATGACCCAGACGCCTGTACACTTGGAGTTTGCGTGTCCTCCCGTTGCGTGGATTTTTTTCCCACATTTAGAAACATGTGTCTCGAGTATTTGGCTGCTCTACATTTCCACACGATAAGCCACTTGGCTGAGCTATCATTTGTGGCCAGGTCGCTTCTGACAAAGAGCTATATAGCTCAGTGGGCCTTATCTGGTGAAATTTAAAAAAGATTAGTTTGAAAGTTTATCAACATCGCCATACAATTGCAAAACTTAGCAGGACACGCCTTGAAATAGGGTCTTGAGGCTAAGGCGTTTCTGCGTAATTAAGCGCGGCGATGATAGCGACTCGCGTTGCGACGTCAACTACCCGTGACACGGCCGTCCGCAACTGGTGTGCAGGGTGACCAACGACGCACGCGAGACCGAGATGGACGATAACCTGGAGCAGGTGAGCGGCATCATCGGCAACCTGCGCCACATGGCGCTCGACATGGGCAACGAGATCGACACGCAGAACCGCCAGCTGGAGCGCATCACCAACATGGTACGAGCCGCACCAGCCCCACCGCACCGGTTCTCGCGCCCGCTCGTCGCACCCAACAAGGGACATGGACTCCCGGACAGCCCCACACGTCGTGCTCACTAACAGCATGCCCCCCAACAGTCTGTGAAGGCTATACGGGGGATCTTTGTCTTGGTGGTGGGGGGGAGCGGAAGTGCAACGGTTAGCGCGCTGCACGACGAACCCGGCACCCCGAGTTCGATTCCTGCTCGTGGACAATACCGGTGACGATAACCTGAGTCGGTCCTGGGCCTCCGCGAGGTCGACTCAGCCTCAAATGAGTACCTGGTGTGGTGTGTAGTAAACATCGCCACTGGGGAGACAAAGGCGGTCGTGCGTGGTTGGTGGCCACCCCACCCCCTCGTGTACCATTCCGGCCTTTATAGGTGCTTGCTAACAGCACTTGCTCCAACAGTCCGTCAAGGCTATACGGGGGGGGGGGGGGATCTATGTTCTTGTGTCGTTACGTCTTTTGCTTTGTCAGTGGACACCCTGAACACTCTTGTAAACGAGGTGTTCCATCTTCAGCGAGCCTGCAAGTGAATATTGTGACAATAACCGTCCCCACCACCCCCACCCCTCCGCAGGCCGATTCCAACGAGGCCCGCATCAAGGAGGCCAACACACGCGCTACCAAGATCTTGGGCAGTGGCTAAAGGATGGGGGGGCCCGGGCCGTGCCCCCCCCCCCCAACACCCCCTTCCCACCGTCGGTGACCCCACCCACCCCCCCAAACCCAACCTTCCTTTTCTTAATGCCGCACATCGTGTAAGGTGTCTTACCATAGCTTTAGACGAGCATGCCGTCCCGTGTGGAGGAGCACACAAGTTCACCGCGAGCAGCAAATACGGCAGAGTCGAGATGCAACGCCACTCGTAATGCAGAGAAGGTTACTGACAAAATTAGAAGGAAAAAAAAATGCTTTAAGTTAGTTAATTTTACATGTTGTAAATAATGACTGGGACCAGCAAGATGTAACGTCTTAAAATGTAGCAACTTTTTAAAAGGGCGCAAAAACGAGCTCGTTTATTTATTTATTTACAGCACTTTCCTCGGGCTCGGCCGCAGCCCGCCCTGCACTCGACTGTCGCAAGTCGCGCACAGACAAAAGCGTCTCTTCGTTTATTCACTCACTCCTTTGTTTATACTCGCAGTATATACACAGTACACACCGTCAGTATACACCAGTGCGTTTGTTACACACACGTCCGTGTCAGTATTAACCGTTTCATTTTGGAGGCGTAGTATTGTTTAGCCGTTGCTCGTCGTCGTCCCCTACCCCCCCCCCCTCGGGTGGGTTCAAGAAGCTGGCCGGGCCCGGGCCTCACGCTCCTCTCTGTCACCGTCCCCCCTCAGCCCAGGGTCCAGAGACCCGGGGCCCGACCGCCAGGGAGCACAATCGGGCCGGGTGGCCACAGGGGCCTCTTCCGCCCCCCCCCCCACCCCCGGCTCCAACCCCGCCAGCCCCTGGTCTCTGGCGGCCACGCCGGCCGGGCCTTGGCCACCGCTTGCACGGGCTGCTGGTTCGTGTGATTTACGGCGATTCTTGTGAAAGCACAGAGTAGCTGCCGCCGGGCTGCCGCTAGAACCCCCACTGCTGAACCCCTGTAGACCCCGCTGGGCACGCATTGTAGTCCCGTTGCACCACTCCCCCGCCCGCTCCCCTCGACCCGGCCAGCACCCCGGGCCATGAAAGCTCTTCTGCGCTGTCCTCCCACCCCTGCCACCTAATTATGTTTCACCCAGAATGCATGCCAAGTAGCTGTTACCTGTAATCTCAATTCTGAATGTGAATCCCTAAATGTACGAAACATATCTCTATGCATGACGAAAATGTAAAGTAAAAACGTACAGACGAGGCACTAAATCTAGGCATTTTTGTGAGTTTTTGAATGTAACACGTGTCGGACCGCTCGCTGTCTGGAATAAACGCGGCGGTGAAAGCGACTCTCCCAGTGCGTGGTGGCTACGTTCGTTAGTGCCGGCCTTGATGGGGGGGGGGGGGCTCCTATTCTTCTGTCCGTGATGTGCCCGGGCTTTGTCGATGCTTCGTCTGGGAATTGGCGTTTTGTAATCGGGTGCCAGGATTTGATTTGCATTGGGTGGAACTCTACGTCACTAAGCGGCTGTTTGCTGATGCAGTCTCAGCCTTGGCTTAAACCTCTCCCCTCCTCTTGCGCCACATTCATTGCAGTACAAACAGTGAGACTACATCACCAGCCAGTGAGACAACATATTGGTGCAACCGATTTTACTATAAAGGTAGCAACCCTACATTGTAAGCAGAGTAGCCGTGACAATGACAACTCCGAGCATCTCCAGCAAACAGGACGGGCCTGTGCCAACCAAAAAGCCCCAACGCGTGGGCTTCTTGCTCCTCGGCCACCTATAGGCACCTTGCATTTTAACTGCTCGAGGGGTTTTAGTGCCAGGATCGGACCGATCGATGCAGCAGATACATGCACGCATACAGATACACAGCTACCACATTTGATGCGAGAGCGAAACCTTTCAGACTTGCGCGCCAACATTTTTGTGGCAAATGTAACAAACCAGCATCAGACTTTTGGCAAAGTCAGAAAAACCCATTCCAGGTCCTCAAGCTGGGTGCCCGGAAGTGTGTTGAGGTGTGGACACGGTCCACTATTTACCAAGGCTCACGGGGAACTCTACAGCCCCCCTCATTCACACTTGAGCCCCCTAGTCACTGCTACATGTACACTGAGGCAGAAAAAAATATTACATTCGGTCTTTATTTAAAATTGTAACTGGAGAAATATATTTCCTGTGGTCTACAGGTCCGATCAGAGCAGCAGTAGGTGATAACCTGACATTCTTGTGCTGCAGAGACCATTCCAATGTGCCTCCAGTTAAGATTTCTCTCACCAATTTAATTCAATCCAGTAGCTATATACACGTAATTCTGAATTGATTTTTCTGCACTTGCAATCTCCACAGGCATGTTTATATCGATCAAAGCGCTTCTTCATTACACATGACGCACGGCACAGACTATGCAGGCCAGCTCACTGTCACGCGGCTGACCTCTCGCCGACTGCGATGCGATGAGGGGATTGAGCCAGGCTCTACAACGCCGATCGTGTCCTCGGCGAGCACATGGCAGCACGGCAAAATAAACGAGGGGGCAAACGTGTAAATCTGGTGCACCATGCTGGATCAGGAGTGCCCATTAAAATGTTATCCCGGTTATTGGTAGCCAATGTTGCACACTTCACAACGACAGTCGGGGACACATGGGCTTGCAAGACATGGAGTCAAATGAGAGTGGGATCTGTAATGTTCTGGTTATCTCGACTGGGCTTGGGGGCAGCTTGCTCGGGCATTGTGCTGCCACCTTCCCCTGGTCGCCCAGATCCCTGCATTGTGCCGACCCTGCCGCCTGCAGCCTGAGACATCGCCATCAGGATGCTGCTGCTGCCCACTCTAGTTGAATTTCTTCTTGGCTGCTGTGAATCTCTCCATGTACTGCAGAATACAACCATGACAAGATATTAAAATCAAGGAGTTTAACAATGAGGGACAGTCACAAAAACATTAATTTTGCTCTGGACAACGAAATTATTTCAGTTGGGCATTGAGGCAGCGCTTACCATCTGCTTACAGCCCTGACTGAGCCAGTAGTAGAAATTCCACATTCACATTGGCATGGGTGAGACTGGCCATATGGCCACTATTGACTCCCCACAAATGTGTATGCATTCTATCAGCAACTGAGGGCAGATGGGTCGAGTCAATCCCCAAACCAGGATTTGACATCAAGCTTCCGATTGTCACGTATCCTGTGAATTAAAACACTTTTCTCAAGCACTATTAAGTGAATTAAAGTACATACATATGTAGCTGCTCCTAAGGCTCTTGTGGTCAGGGCACTATATGCATACACGACATCAGGAATGCTTTTACCTCTCAGAAGGCAATGATATGAAAATCTAGAAGTCAAGCTGTGACTCAACCACTACTACTGCATGACCCGACAGCGCTATGGGGGCCTGACAGAACTGTGCTGAAGCTGTGCGTAATAAAAACCCAAACCCAGTTGGGTACCTGCTCATATCCATCCAGCTCTCTAAATTTCTTCATCTCAAAGAGGTTTCCATCGAGGGTGAGCAGAGAGACATTGGAGGAGGTGAGGAGGGCGGATGGCACGGCTGGAAGCTCCAGGCAGTTTTCCTCCAGGCGAAGCACTTTCAGCCGCTGGCAGGTCGCCACATCAGCCGAGATGCGGGAGATCTGAAACACAGAGATCAAGCCTTGTTGAGACCCTTGTCGAGCACATCGCGTGTGATTTGCATGCTGGTGGGCAGCCAATTAATCGACGGATTGCTGTCTTGGCAGGGCCAATGAAAACATTGCATAGACAGTGGATTGCTCACACAAACTTCAGTGGCCCTCAAGTCATTCACTACTCACTCAACATAACTCAGATTCTGACATCCCAAAAAACGTATTTGGATAAACGAGGTTATTTGGACAAAATAAAACATTTTACAGCCTTGCAATGTGGGGTGCACCCCAATGGGTTTACACAATATAAAATAATCCTGAGTCGACTGATGAGACACTTAATTTTGAAATGGCCTAAAGGTTTGCTTGTGCCAAACAAATACTGCTGAAATTATGCACTCCAAGCAGGTGTGGCTAATGAGATATTTTAAAAAATGCCTTTCACATTTTACGTGGAGGAATTGATATGAGGCATAGCCTGCGTAGTTACCATATGCTTAGCATATGTTATCAAATCATAAACCCTGTAAAAGCCACTCGTCGATAAATGATGAGCACTTTAGCTCCACCTGGTTCTGGTTGAGGTTGACTTCCACAGCCTGCAGCTGCCCAATGCCATCGGGCACAGCCTGGATCTTGTTTCTGGACAGGTCGACAAGGTCCAGATGACGCAGTGAGCACAGCTGCAGGGGGAAGGCCGTCAGCTGGTTGCCGGACAGGCAGAGGGTCTTGAGGGCGCACAGTTGGTCCAGCCTGGAGGGAAGGCTCCTAAGCAGGTTGTTGTTCACGTGGATCGACTCCAGCTTCTTCACCTTGCACAGTTCCTCGGGAAGGCTGGCTGAAACGAGGGCAGAATTCTCACCACGATGGCTGTGTTGTGAAACGTTTCACGTGGCCTCCCTAAGGGGGCTCCGTGAGGCCAAATAACGGTGAGCGCAAACAAAAACGTCGCCCATAATGCAGGTTCTTTTTAAGGTTAGATCGCGTAAATATATGTCGTTAAATCCGCCACCACTCAACACAACCAATTAGTAAGCTTTGTCACGTAAAGAGTACATGCCCATTCGTTATTAGTACAGCACACCGGTGTGTTGGAGAGCAAAGCCATAACATTTAAAATCTGCGTACAAATCTGACGAGACATTCATATATTTACGCGATCTAACCCCCAAAAAAAACCTGTATTATGGATGATATTGTTCACGAACGGCCTACGTGTTAAAAACATCGTCATTTTAATGAAACGTATGTCGGCGGAGAGGCCGCAGGGTGCCGTGACCTACTCAGACGGTTGTTGCTCAGCGTGAGGCTTCTCAGCACCTGGAACTCCCCAACAAAGGAAGACAATGCCGGGATCTTGTTGTGGGACAGGTCCACAGTCCGCAGGTTCTTCGCCAACTTTTGCAGATCTTCTGGAAACTGCGAAGGACGCAACAACGACAACAACAACAAAAACATCGTAACGGCAACAATTCGCGAGCGGGGTCTATCAGCGGCATCCGCAGCGACAGCTGCCCGGATGGCGCGGCAGGGTGCCGCCCCACAGCAAGCGGCCTGGTTCAACTCCCGACTAGGGCGCCTTGCTCTGTGAAGTTTCTATGTTCTCCGCCTGTTTGTGTACTCTTGTGTTGTTGTTGTTTTTTACCGGGTTCTCTGGTAACCTCCAATAGCTCAACACACAGACACAGGGTGTCATTACTGTTGGCCAAACAGGATCCTCCTGCTGTCCTGCATGGAGGTCTTGGGACTCGGTGCAGCTCACCTGGGTAAACGACTCATTATTCTCATACCTTCATTTGCCATGATGATGATGATCATTATTATTATACAATACGCTCTCGGTGGTGGCACGGGATTGACGATGGGAAGGTCTGGTGAGTGGTGATGGAGGTGAGTGGTGAGGGAGGTGAGTGGTGAGGGTGAGGGAGGTGAGTGGTGAGTGGTGAGGGAGGTGAGTGGTGAGGGAGGTGAGTGGTGAGGGAGGTGAGTGGTGAGGGTGAGGGAGGTGAGTGGTGAGGGTGAGGGAGGTGAGTGGTGAGGGAGGTGAGTGGTGAGTGGTGAGGGTGGTGAGTGGTGAGGGAGGTGAGTGGTGAGGGAGGTGAGTGGTGAGGGAGGTGAGTGGTGAGGGAGGTGAGTGGTGAGGGTGAGGGAGGTGAGTGGTGAGGAAGGTGAGTGGTGAGAGTGAGGGAGGTGAGTGGTGAGGAAGGTGAGTGGTGAGGGTGAGGGAGGTGAGTGGTAAGGGAGGTGAGTGGTGAGGGAGGTGAGGGTGAGGGAGGTGAGTGGTGAGTGGTGAGGAAGGTGAGTGGTGAGGGTGAGGGAGGTGAGTGGTGAGGGTGAGGGAGGTGAGTGGTGAGTGGTGAGGGAGGTGAGTGGTGAGTGGTGAGGGAGGTGAGTGGTGAGGGAGGTGAGTGGTGAGGGAGGTTAGTGGTGAGGGTGAGGGAGGTGAATGGTGAGGGAGGTGAGTGGTGAGGGTGAGGGAGGTGAGTGGTGAGTGGTGAGGGAGGTGAGTGGTGAGGGAGGTAAGTGGTGAGGGAGGTGAGTGGTGAGGGTGAGGGAGGTGAGTGGTGAGGGTGAGGGAGGTGAGTGGTGAGGGAGGTGAGTGGTGAGTGGTGAAGGGAGGTGAGTGGTGAGGGTGAGGGAGGTGAGTGGTGAGGGAGGTGAGTGGTGAGGGAGGTGAGGGAGGTGAGTGGTGAGGGAGGTGAGTGGTGAGGGAGGTGAGTGGTGAGGAAGGTGAGTGGTGAGGGTGAGGGAGGTGAGTGGTGTGGGTGATGGAGGTGAGTGGTGAGGAAGGTGAGTGGTGAGGGAGGTGAGTGGTGAGGGTGAGGGTGGTGAGTGGTGAGGGAGGTGAGTGGTGAGGAAGGTTAGTGGTGAGGAAGGTTAGTGGTGAGGGAGTTGAGTGGTGAGGGAGGTGAGTGGTGAGGGAGGTGAGTGGTGAGTGGTGAGGGAACTGAGTGGTGAGGGAGGTGAGTGGTGAGGGAGGTGAGTGGTGAGGGAGGTGAGTGGTGAGAGGAGGGAGGTGAGTGGTGAGGGTGATGGAGGTGAGTGGTGAGTGGTGAGGGAGGTGAGTGGTGAGGGAGGTGAGTGGTGAGGGAGGTGAGTGGTGAGGGAGGTGAGTGGTGAGGGTGATGGAGGTGAGTGGTGAGGGAGGTGAGTGGTGAGGGTGAGGGAGGTGAGTGGTGAGGGAGGTGAGTGGTGAGGGAGGTGAGTGGTGAGGGTGATGGAGGTGAGTGGTGAGGGTGATGGAGGTGAGTGGTGAGGGTGAGGAGGTGAGTGGTGAGGGAGGTGAGTGGTGAGGGAGGTGAGTGGTGAGGGTGAGGGAGGTGAGTGGTGAGGGAGGTGAGTGGTGAGGGTGATGGAGTTGAGTGATGAGAGGAGGGAGGTGAGTGGTGAGGGTGATGGAGGTGAGTGGTGAGTGGTGAGGGAGGTGAGTGGTGAGGGTGAGGGAGGTGAGTGGCGAGTGGTGAGGGAGGTGAGTGGTGAGGGTGAGGGAGGTGAGTGGTGAGGGAGGTGAGTGGTGAGGGTGATGGAGGTGAGTGGTGAGAGGAGGGAGGTGAGTGGTGAGGGTGATGGAGGTGAGTGGTGAGGGTGGAGGTGAGTGGTGATGGAGGTGAGTGGTGAGGAAGGTTAGTGGTGAGGAAGGTTAGTGGTGAGGGAGTTGAGTGGTGAGGGAGGTGAGTGGTGAGGGAGGTGAGTGGTGAGGGAGGTGAGTGGTGAGGGAGGTGAGTGGTGAGAGGAGGGAGGTGAGTGGTGAGGGTGATGGAGGTGAGTGGCGAGTGGTGAGGGAGGTGAGTGGTGAGGGAGGTGAGTGGTGAGGGTGATGGAGGTGAGTGGTGAGGGAGGTGAGTGGTGAGGGTGAGGGAGGTGAGTGGTGAGGGAGGTGAGTGGTGAGGGTGATGGAGGTGAGTGGTGAGGGTGATGGAGGTGAGTGGCGAGTGGTGAGGGAGGTGAGTGGTGAGGGTGATGGAGGTGAGTGGTGAGGGTGATGGAGGTGAGTGGTGAGGGTGAGGAGGTGAGTGGTGAGGGAGGTGAGTGGTGAGGGAGGTGAGTGGTGAGGGTGAGGGAGGTGAGTGGTGAGGGAGGTGAGTGGTGAGGGTGATGGAGGTGAGTGATGAGAGGAGGGAGGTGAGTGGTGAGGGTGATGGAGGTGAGTGGTGAGTGGTGAGGGAGGTGAGTGGTGAGGGTGAGGGAGGTGAGTGGCGAGTGGTGAGGGAGGTGAATGGTGAGGGTGAGGGAGGTGAGTGGTGAGGGAGGTGAGTGGTGAGGGTGATGGAGGTGAGTGGTGAGAGGAGGGAGGTGAGTGGTGAGGGTGATGGAGGTGAGTGGTGAGGGTGGAGGTGAGTGGTTATGGAGGTGAGTGGTGAGGAAGGTTAGTGGTGAGGAAGGTTAGTGGTGAGGGAGTTGAGTGGTGAGGGTGAGGGAGGTGAGTGGTGAGGGTGAGGGAGGTGAGTGGTGGGTGGTGAGGGAACTGAGTGGTGAGGGAGGTGAGTGGTGAGGGTGATGGAGGTGAGTGGTGAGGGAGGTGAGTGGTGAGGGAGGTGAGTGGTTAGAGGAGGGAGGTGAGTGGTGAGGGTGATGGAGGTGAGTGGTGAGTGGTGAGGGAGGTGAGTGGTGAGGGTGAAGGAGGTGAGTGGTGAGGGAGGTGAGTGGGGAGGGAGGTGAGTGGTGAGAGGAGGGAGGTGAGTGGTGAGGGTGATGGAGGTGAGTGGTGAGGGTGATGGAGGTGAGTGGTGAGGGTGAGGGAGGTGAGTGGTGAGGGAGGTGAGTGGTGAGGGTGATGGAGGTGAGTGGTGAGGGTGAGGAGGTGAGTGGTGAGGGTGATGGAGGTGAGTGGTGAGGGTGAGGGAGGTGAGTGGTGAGGGAGGTGAGTGATGAGGGTGATGGAGGTGAGTGGTGAGGGTGAGGGAGGTGAGTGGTGAGGGAGGTGAGTGGTGAGGGGGATGGAGGTGAGGGTGAGGGAGGTGAGTGGTGAGGGAGGTGAGTGGTGAGGGAGGTGAGTGGTGAGGGTGGTGAGTGGTGAGGGACGTGAGTGGTGAGTGGTGAGGGAGGTGAGTGGTGAGGGTGAGGGAGGTGAGTGGTGAGGGAGGTGAGTGGTGAGGGAGGTGAGGGAGGTGAGTGGTGAGGGTGAGGGAGGTGAGTGGTGAGGGAGGTGAGTGGTGAGGAAGGTGAGTGGTGAGGGTGAGGGAGGTGAGTGGTGTGGGTGATGGAGGTGAGTGGTGAGGAAGGTGAGTGGTGAGGGTTAGGGAGGTGAGTGGTGAGGGTGGTGAGTGGTGAGGGAGGTGAGTGGTGAGGAAGGTTAGTGGTGAGGAAGGTTAGTGGTGAGGGAATTGAGTGGTGAGGGAGGTGAGTGGTGAGGGTGAGGGAGGTGAGTGGTGAGTGGTGAGGGAGGTGAGTGGTGAGGGAGGTGAGTGGTGAGGGAGGTGAGTGGTGAGAGGAGGGAGGTGAGTGGTGAGGGTGAAGGAGGTGAGTGGTGAGGGAGGTGAGTGGTGAGGGAGGTGAGTGGTGAGAGGAGGGAGGTGAGTGGTGAGGGTGATGGAGGTGAGTGGTGAGGGTGATGGAGGTGAGTGGTGAGGGTGAGGGAGGTGAGTGGTGAGGGAGGTGAGTGGTGAGGGTGATGGAGGTGAGTGGTGAGGGTGAGGAGGTGAGTGGTGAGGGTGATGGAGGTGAGTGGTGAGGGTGAGGGAGGTGAGTGGTGAGGGAGGTGAGTGGTGAGGGAGGTGAGTGGTGAGGGAGGTGAGTGGTGAGGGTGATGGAGGTGAGTGGTGAGGGTGAGGGAGGTGAGTGGTGAGGGAGGTGAGTGGTGAGGGTGATGGAGGTGAGGGTGAGGGAGGTGAGTGGTGAGGGAGGTGAGTGGTGAGGGAGGTGAGTGGTGATGGAGGTGAGTGGTGAGGGAGGTGAGTGGTGAGGGTGAAGGAGGTGAGTGGTGATGGAGGTGAGTGGTGAGGGTGAGGGAGGTGAGTGGTGATTGAGGTGAGTGGTGAGTGGTGAGGGAGGTGAGTGGTGAGGGTGATGGAGGTGAGGGTGATGGAGGTGAGGGTGATGGAGGTGAGTGGTGAGGGTGAGGGAGGTGAGTGGTGAGGGTGATGGAGGTGAGGGTGAGGGAGGTGAGTGGTGAGGGTGATGGAGGTGAGGGTGATGGAGGTGAGTGGTGAGGGTGATGGAGGTGAGTGGTGAGGGTGAGGGAGGTAAGTGGTGACAGGAGGGCAGAGGGCAGAGTTAGGGGGCAGCAGTAGGACGAGCTGGGATCCGGCGCTCCCACCTCGCTCAGGCCCTTGCCCGTGAGCTGGAAGGCCCCCGTCTTCTCCGCGGTCTCCAAGTGGGCCTTCAGGGCGCTGTTCCCCATGCCTGTGCCCTCGGCAACGCCGGCCTCCCGCGCAGGCGAGGAAGGCTCCGGTCACAGGCGAGGCCGCTCGGGTCCCGCTAGGCCGCGCAGGCCGCTAGGAGACGGCGCTGAGCGGCCAGGGCCGCCCCCACGCCTCCAGCCCCCACAGCGGCCTCAAAAGCCGTCGGCGCTACATTCAGGTTCGTCTTGGAGAGGAGACGCAGCAACAACAACAGCAGCAACACAGCAACAACAGCAGCAGCAGCCGAGCGAGTAGCGGCAGCAGCGACGGCGGCAGCAGGAGGATGAGGGAGCCGCGGCCTGGAGCCTGCGAAGCCTCGCGGACTCAGGGCGGCAACAGCGCCCCCACTCGGTGACAGCCTCTAGTCACTACAGCCTCTAGTCACTACAGCCTCTAGTCACTACAGCCTCTAGTCACTACAGCCTCTAGTCACTACAGCCTCTAGTCACTACAGCTACTAGTCACTACAGCCTCTAGTCAATACAGCCTCTAGTCACTACAGCCTCTAGTCACTACAGCCTCTAGTCAATACAGCCTCTAATCACTACAGCCTCTAGTCACTGCAGCCCCCACTCGGTGACAGCCACTAGTCACTACAGCCTCTAGTCACTACAGCCACTAGTCACTGCAGCCTCTAGTCACTACAGCCTCTAGTCACTGCAGCCCCCACTCGGTGACAGCCTCTAGTCACTACAGCCTCTAGTCGGTGACAGCCTCTAGTCACTACAGTCTCTGTCACTACAGCCTCTAGTCACTACAGCCTCTAGTCACTGCAGCCTCTAGTCACTACAGCCTCTAGTCACTGCAGCCCCCACTCGGTGACAGCCTCTAGTCACTACAGCCACTAGTCACTGCAGCCTCTCGTCAATACAGCCTCTAGTCACTACAGCCTCTAGTCACTACAGCCTCTAGTCACTGCAGCCCCCACTCGGTGACAGCCTCTAGTCAATACAGCCTCTAGTCACTACAGCCACTGCAGCCTCTAGTCACTACAGCCTCTAGTCATTACAGCCTCTAGTCACTGCAGCCTTTAGTCACTACAGCCTCTAGTCATTACAGCCTCTAGTCACTACAGCCCCCACTCGGTTACAGCCTCTAGTCACTGCGGCCTCTAGTTACTACAGCCTCTAGTCACTACAGCCTCTAGTCACTACAGCCCCCCCTCGGTGACAGCCTCTAGTCACTGCAGCCTCTAATCACTACAGCCTCTAGTCACTACAGCCTCTAGTCACTGCAGACTCTAGTCACTGCAGTCTCTAGTCACTACAACCTCTAGTCACTACAGCCTGTAGTCTCTGCAGTCTCTGTCACTACAGCCTCTAGTCACTACAGCCTCTAGTCACTGCAGCCTCTAGTCACTACAGCCTCTAGTCACTACAACCCCCACTCGGTGACAGCCTCTAGTCACTACAGCCCCCACTCGGTGACAGCCTCTAGTCACTGCGGCATCTAGTCTCTACAACCACTAGTCACTGCAGCCTCTAGTCACTACTGCCACTAGTCACTGCAGCCTCTAGTCACTACAGCCTATAGTCACTACAGCCCCCACTCGGTGACAGCCTCTAGTCACTACAGACTCTAGTCACTACAGCCCCCCACTCGGTGACAGCCTCTAGTCACTGCAGCCTCTAGTCACTGCAGCCTCTAGTCACTGCAGTCTCTAGTCACTGCAGCCTCTAGTCACTACAGCCTCTAGTCACTACAGCCTCTAGTCACTGCAGTCTCTGTCACTACAGCTTCTAGTCACTACAGCCTCTAGTCATTGCAGCCTCTAGTCACTACAGCCTCTAGTCACTACAGCCCCCACTCGGTGACAGCCTCTAGTCACTGCGGCCTCTAGTCACTACAGCCTCTAGTCACTACAGCCTCTAATCACTACAGCCTCTAGTCGGTGACAGCCTTTAGTCACTGCAGCCTCTAGTCACTGCAGCCTCTAGTCACTGCAGCCTCTAGTCACTACAGCCTCTAGTCACTGCAGGCTCTAGTCACTACAGCCTCTAGTCACTACAGTCTCTAGTCACTGCAGTCTCTGTCACTACAGCCTCTAGTCACTACAGCCTCTAGTCACTACAGCCTCTAGTCACTACAGCCTCTAGTCACTACAGCCCCCACTCGGTGACAGCCTCTAGTCACTACAGCCCCAACTCGGTGACAGCCTCTAGTCACTCCGGCCTCTAGTCACTACAGCCACTAGTCACTGCAGTCTCTAGTCACTGCAGCCTCTAGTCACTACAGCCCCCACTCGGTGACAACCTCTAGTCACTACAGCCTCTAGTCACTACAGCCCCCCACTCGGTGACAGCCTCTAGTCACTGCAGTCTCTAGTCACTGCAGTCTCTAGTCAGTGCAGCCTCTAGTCACTGCAGCCTCTAGTCACTGCAGCCTCTAGTCACTACAGCCTCTAGTCACTACAGCCTCTGTCACTACAGCCTCTAGGCACTACAGCCTCTAGTCACTGCAGCCTCTAGTCACTATAGCCTCTAGTCACTACAGCCCCTACTCGGTGACAGCCTCTAGTCACTACAGCCCCCACTCGGTGACTGCGGCCTCTAGTCACTACAGCCAATAGTCATTGCAGCCTCTAGTCACTGCAGCCTCTAGTCACTGCAGTCTCTAGTCACTACAGCCACTAGTCACTGCAGCCTCTAGTCACTACAGCCACTATTCACTGCAGCCTCTAGTCACCCTCTAGTCACTACAGCCCCCACTCAGTGACAGCCTCTAGTCACTACAGCCTCTAGTCACTACAGCCCCCACTCGGTGACAGCCTCTTGTCACTGCAGCCTCTAGTCCAGGGGTCGGGAACCTTTTTGACTAAGAGAGCCATGAAAGCAAAAAATTTGGAAATTTATTTCAGTGAGAGCCATATAATATATTTAAAAAGTGAATTCAACTAAATGTCAGTATAATAAGCCTCTGAATTTATTCTTTTAAATAATGTTGTTATAACACTCACCATTAATGCGACTTCTGGTGCTGCATGGATTTGCTGATGTCTTTGTAGTCGGGTTGGTACTTGGTGAGGTTAAGCTTCATGCAAGCGTTGAGGCTTTCATCCGTTAAACGTGATCGTAGGTTGGACTTGATGTTTTTAAGATGTGAGAATGACTGCTCACATGCATACGTAGATCCAAACATGGTCAATACAGCAATACTCACACGCTGCAGTGTGTGGTATGTGACAGGAAGCGCGTTCCAAGTTTTGAGAATCAGCTGGTCTTCGGGTTGGAGTTTTTTCATTTCTGTCCACATGTGCTTGCTCGCCAACTCCGCTTTCTGTCGTGTGATTCTTTCCAAATCTTCATTCAGTGACTTGAACTTATTCACCCACATGTCTGAGGCCTTCAGGTCAGCCACTTCTGCTTCAAAATCTCTGACGGAGACACCAGGGATGTAATTCAGGTCGGCTGTGTTCAGTGAACACTCGTTTGGATGGGTGATGAACTTAAAAAGACGAGTGTGCTCACGAAATTCTCCAAAGCGTGCTTTGAAGGACTGTAGGAGACTGGATGTGCAGCCAGCTAGCTGGTGGAGATCAAGGTTTTGAATGGGCTCACTTGCTGTGCATGCATCTTTAAATTGGCTCAGTTTTTCAAAATGTAGTAAACGACCTGTTTCAAGATCCGTGATGAAAAGCTCCAGCTTGTTTTCAAAAGCAAATACAGCTTGTTGAAGGGATAACACTGTATTTCCAATGCCTTGCATTTTCACGTTGAGCTGGTTCAGATGTTCAGTCAGATCTACGAGATAGTAAAACTTGAGGAGCCACTCGGTGTCGGCTAGCTCAGGATGCCCGACGCCTTTCATTTCAAGGAAAGTCCGGATTTCGTTCAGGCAAGCCGCAAAACGGCTAAGCACCTTCCCTCTTGACAACCAACGCACATTGCTGTGCAAAAGCAGACCAGGATAGTTATTTACAACTTCATCCAGCAGTGTTTTAAACTGGCGATCATTTAAGGCTCGGGCAACAATAAAGTTGATCACACGAATGACCAGCGACATCACTTCGCCAAACTGCCTGTCACACATCTGAGCACAAAGTGCCTCCTGGTGTATAATGCAATGAAAACTTAGGATGGGTCTATTTTCATGTTCACGGAGAAGCGCCACAAATGCTTTGTTTTTCCCCACCATACACGGAGCACCATCAGTACACACTGAGAGAAGTTTATCCATAGGTAGACTTTTTTCTTGAGCAAACTCCATGAAAGACTTGAATAAATCCTCACCTCTTGTGGACCCTTTTAATGGCAGAACAGCAAGACTTTCTTCGCGCAGTGTGTCACCAACAGCATATCTTGCAATCACGCTGAACTGCGACAAATGGCTCACGTCTGTTGACTCATCCAAAGCCAGAGAAAAGAACGGCGCTGCATTTATGTCCTTCACTTGCGTTTCCTCCACTTTGTTTGCCATCACGATGGTACGATCATGAACAGTTCTTGCCGACAGAGGCATGTCTTGTATCCGTTTGATTATCTTGTCTTTGTTCGGAAGATCATCAAAAAGTTCATTGGCTACATCCAGCATGAACGTTTTAGCATACTCGCCATCTGTGAATGGTTTTCCGTTCCTCACTATTGCTAAAGAACCAGCAAAGCTAGCCGAATTATAGTCACCTTGCCGGGTCCATACGCGGAGTTGCTGCTGGCTAGCTTGCACCCTGCTCAGAAGCTCTTGGCACGCTTTCTTTCTGCTGTCTCCCGCAGGGTATTTTGATGCAAAGGTAGCGTGGCGCGTGTCGAAGTGCCGCTTTACATTCGACCGTTTCAACGATGTAATTTTGTCATTGCAAATTAGACACACCGCAGAACCCGCTCTCTCCACAAAGGCGAATTCTTCGGTCCATTCGACCTGAAATGTACGATACTCGTCGTCTTTTTTTCTTTTCGCTATCTTCTTCGTCGAAGGGTTAGCTTTGAGCTAATGACCGAGCAGACGCAGTCTCAGACTGATTCAAAAGGGGGCGTTTACCTGTTTTACCCAGCAACGGCAAACGTAGGCCAGTATCATCCAATTAAAATAATGGACAATTGCTCCTGCAGCCCTGAACAGGACATGCGCAGTGAAAAATCGATGGATGGATTAAAACAAGTGAGAATATTTTGTTTTATCTGCGAGCCATATGCAATCATCAAAAGAGCCACATCTGGCTCGCGAGCCATAGGTTCCCGACCCCTGCTCTAGTCACTACAGCCTCTAGTCACTGCAGCCTCTAGTCACTGCGGCCTCTAGTCACTGCGGCCTCTAGTCACTGCGGCCTCTAGTCACCGTGGCCACTAGTCACCGCAGCCTCTAGTCACAGCAGCAACTAGTCACCGCAGCCTCTAGTCACCGCAGCCT